GATACTATCGTTGATCCTTCTGGACGATATGTCTTAGTAAACTGTAGGATATTTTCTGAGCAGTGGTCGCTCTTCAATGTCTACGCTCCCAACTACGATGATGACTCATTTATGCAAGACGTATGTCTCAAACTTTCTGGAGGGCATTGCAATTTACTAATTGGGGGGGACTAACTTTTGTTTGGATCCAGCCTTAGACAAATCGTTTATGGTAATATCGAAGTCTAAAGCTGCTAACATTACTCACTCTTTTATGAAGGACTAGAATCTAATGGACGTTTGGCGGCATATGCACCCTCAAACTCGAGACTCTTCCTTTTACTCATGCCCCCACAATTCACACACCAGAATAGATCTATTCTTGTCCTCTTCCCATCTGTTCCATAGAGTGTTAGATACAGAATATTTACCTCGGTTACTGTCTGATCATTCACCACTGGCTCTCTCAATCATATTTCCCGATATGCCTAGAAGACCATATCGATGGCGGCTTAACTCTACTCTTCTTCAGAGACCAGACTTCTGCTCATATGTTAGGGGTCATATACAGTTGTTTTGTGAAACAAATAGTCCTTCCTCGCCCAATAGCTTTATCTTTTGGGACACGTTAAAAGCCTACCTAAGAGGACAAATAATCTCTTATACAAAGGGCCTTAAGAAGAAGTACACAGCAGAAATAGAAAAGATGGAGGTAGATATTTCAAACTTGGAAAAAGACTTTCAAGGCAGTGGCTCGAAGGACATTTATCAGTCATTAATCCAGAAAAAAACTCAATACAACACATTGAACACTTTGAAAAGGATATCTTAAGGACAAAACAAAGATACTATGAATTGGGAGAGAAGGCACATAAAATATTAGCATGGCAATTGAAAGCTGAGGAAAGTAGCAGAACCATCAACGCAATTCAGAACGACATTGGGAACACGTCATATAGCCCAGAAGAGATAAATGATCATTTTAAACATTTTTATTCAAATTTGTATACTGAATCTGAACGTCCTCATGATCTGACGCAAATTGACAATTTCCTCTCCAAAATTGAACTTACTAACATTACAGTGTGGCTTTATTCAGAAACGCTTGTCAAATAGCAAATAACTTAAGTAGGCTTTTCAGCATAATTCATCTGTCACAACATCGGTCTGACCCAACGGTGGCAGTAGCATTGGACGCCGAAAAGGCCTTTGACAGGCTGGAATGGCCGTATTTATTTATGGTAATGGAGAAATTTGGTTTTGGACAATATTTTATTGACTGGGTGAAGACTCTTTACTATAATCCCAAAGCCCGAATTATAACTAATGGGATAATTTCATCATCCTTTCCCTTACAAAGATCGAGCAGACAAGGCTGCCCCCTATCTCCCGCCCTATTTGTTTTGGCCATTGAGCCTTTGGCCATTGAGCCTTTGGCCATTGAGCCTTTGGCCATTGAGCCTTTGGCCATTGAGCCTTTGGCCATTGAGCCTTTGGCTATAGAGCCTTTGGCTATAGAGCCTTTGGCTATAGAGCCTTTGGCTATAGAGCCTTTGGCTATAGAGCCTTTGGCTATTGAGCCTTTGGCTATTGAGCCTTTGGCTATTGAGCCTTTGGCTATTGAGCCTTTGGCTATTGAGCCTTTGGCTATTGAGCCTTTGGCTATTGAGCCTTTGGCTATTGAGCCTTTGGCTATTGAGCCTTTGGCTATTGAGCCTTTGGCTATTGAGCCTTTGGCTATTGAGCCTTTGGCTATAGAGCCTTTGGCTATAGAGCCTTTGGCTATAGAGCCTTTGGCTATAGAGCCTTTGGCTATTGAGCCTTTGGCTATTGAGATTTGGGCTATTGAGCCTTTGGCTATTGAGCCTTTGGCTATTGAGCCTTTGGCTATAGAGCCTTTGGCGGAGGCGATCAGACAGGACCCAAACATCAAAGGCGTCAGTGTTGGTGGAGATAAACATAAGATTAACCTTCTGGCCGATGACGTTATGTTGTATATTACAGATCCGTCTCAGTCCCTTACTAGACTACAAACTCTGCTTCACTCTTATGGTACAGTGTCAGGATATAAAGTTAATTATGATAAAAGTGAAATCATTCCACTAACAACATTTAATTACGCTCAATGTCATGATACATCAAGTTTCAAATGGGCTCCAACAGGGATAAAATATCTTGGTATAAACTTAGATAATAATCTTAAAAGTCTTTATAAACTGAACTACAGTCCACTGTTGAATAAGATCGAGGAAGACTTGCTGAATTGGACCCCTTTTCCCATCACACTAATTGGGAGGATTAATTGCATTAAAATGAACATCCTACCAAGACTGCAATATCTTTTTCAGTCTCTCCCCATTTCACTACCACAGTCTTTTTTCAAATCTCTGGACAAAATTATAAGACATTTCATTTGGAATGGCAAAGTAGAAAGAAAGTCATTGGAGTCACTTACATGGACTTACATCAGACTTAAATTTTAATAGCCACATCAAATCAGTAACATCAGCAGCTTTTTACCATCTAAAAAACATTTCCAGGATCAAAAACATAGTGTCTAAAGCAGACTTGGAGATTCTTATCCATGCATTTGTCTCCAGTAGGTTAGACTACTGCAATGGCCTGCTCACAGGTCTGTCCAAACAGGCTGTAAAACAGCTGCAGTACATTCAAAATGCAGCAGCTCGAGTCCTGACTAGAACCAGGAAGTACGAGCATATTAGTCCGGTCCTCAGGTCTCTGCACTGGCTTCCTGTGGCTCAGAGAATAGACTTTAAAACAGCTTTGCTTGTGTACAAGTCTCTCCATGGCCTCGCACCAAAATATATTAGTGACATGTTAGTCCCATATGAACCAGCCCGGACTCTGAGGAGCACAGGGACTGGACTCCTGTTAGTGCCCAGAGTCAGAACTAAACATGGGGAGGCTGCTTTTCAGATTCATGCTGCTAAAATCTGGAACATTCTTCCTGAAGATGTGAGACAGGCCTCCTCTCTGACAATGTTTAAAACCAAGTTAAAAACGGTGCTGTTTAGCTGTGCTACAACTGAGGGATTTTATATTTTTATCTTTCTTTTTAATGTTCTGTGATTATTCATGATTTTAATGCTTTCTTGTTCAGCACTTTGAGTTGCTTTGTGTATGAATTGTGCTATACAAATAAACTTGCCTTGCCTTGCCTTGCCATGGAACTATAACTCTGGAGGACTAAGGTTGCCCCATCTTTCTGCACAGCTGCGCTTTGTGTTGTCAATGTTTGACAGGGATGAGGTGCCGTCCTGGGTTCATATTGTATTTCATCCTTTGAAGTAAGTAAGTAAGTAAGTAAGTTTTTATTTATATACCGCCTTTTCACTGCAGATCTGAGTCTCAAAGCGGTTTACAATTGTTAATTTTGGGCATTTGTCTCTCACTCCACACAGAGATGGGAGCGGGGTCGCCAGTACAGGAAGCGCATGCCAGAACTATTGGACATATTTTTAGTGGTAGGGGAAACCGGAGTACCCGGAGGAAACCTACGCAGACACGGGGAGAACATGCAAACTCCACTCAGAAAGGCCCTGGTCCGACCGGGATTCGAACCCAGGACCTTCTTGCTGAGAGGCGAGAGTGCTATCCACTCAGCCACTCAGGAAAATGCCTGTAATTTTGTTCACAAATACAATGCAAAAAATGTGTCTAAGAAAACTGATAAGGCCATTCTTATACATCTCGTTAAGGTGTGGTATGAGGTACATCAATGTGCTGGCCAGAAATTTGGTTTGTCCCCAATGTCACCTTTGAGACAAAATGAACTGATCCCACTGACTCTGAACAACAACATTCTGCAATCCTGGCATAACAACGGAACTCATACTTTGGAGGACTGCTTTGAAGGAGGATCTTTGATGTCTTTTGAACAACTAAAGCTCAAGTATAATCTCCCAAATAACACTTTTTTTGTTATCTCCAGTTGCGTTCATTTCTTATCTGCAATTCGGGTAATCATTTGTCTTTACCTAAACTTACAGGCCTTGAGAAGTTGTTGCTTTATAGTGGATCATGTACATTTATTTCTCGAGTGTACTCTCTGTTAATTAATGATTGTGCTAAACCAGCTGTGTATCATTCTGAGGAGAGGTGGGAGTCGGACCTAAACGTTACCATAGAAAACAGTGTTTGGCCAGATCTTTGTCAAAACAGTGTGTCGGCAACTATCAATGCTCGCTATAGACTTGTACATTATCATTTTCTCCATCAGCTTTACCTGACTCCGGAAAAAATGCACAAATCAAAATCAAAACCAAGCTTGTCAAACACATGCTTTCGATGCAATGCGGAGATGGGCTCTTTCCTACACTGCACATGGTCCTGTATAAAAGTAGCAGGTTACTGGCCAAAATATCTCTTCCTCCCGATCCTGAAGTGTGCCTGCTTGGAAATCTAACGAAAATTGACAACCCTATGAACAAATATCAAACAACATTTCTGGAAATTGCACTATCGGTTGCAAGAAAATGCATTGCTGTCACTTGGAGGTCCGATTCCCCCCTCTCTCTGACAAGATGGTACTTAGAATTGAATAGGTGTGTCCCTCTGGAAAAAATTACCAATAGCCTGAGGAAGACATTCGACACATTTGTCAAAGTATGGCAACCATACCTGGAACATATGAACATAAGCCCAACAGACTGTATCCTTAAAGTAAATAATCTTGACCTTAATGTGATGTCAGAGCATTTGTTGTTTTTTTTTTTTTTTTTTCGTGAGCGGGGTGGGTGGGTATAACTGTTCTTTGTTGTTTGTTCTAAACTGAAAATTTCAAAATAAAATATATTAAAAAAAAAAAAGTCTGTCTCCAATAGAGCAGCCGGTCTTACACTGCCTTTACTTTACAGATAACTCATCCATATAAACATTAAAAAGCATAGGTGACAGGATTCCACCGTCTCACTCTGTTTGACACATGACACGGCTCTGACACTGCCGTAGCCCATCTATCCTGCATGGTTTGGTGCGAGTACCAGAACCATCTATCCTGCATGGTTTGGTGTGAGTACCAGAACCATCTATCCTGCATGGTTTGGTGTGAGTACCAGAACCATCTAACCTGCATGGTTTGGTGTGAGTACCAGAACCATCTAACCTGCATGGTTTGGTGTGAGTACCAGAACCATTTAACCTGCATGGTTTGGTGCGAGTACCAGAACCATCTATCCTGCATGGTTTGGTGCGAGTACCAGAACCATCTATCCTGCATGGTTTGGTGCGAGTACCAGAACCATCTATCCTGCATGGTTTGGTGTGAGTACCAGAACCATCTATCCTGCATGGTTTGGTGTGAGTACCAGAACCATCTAACCTGCATGGTTTGGTGTGAGTACCAGAACCATCTAACCTGCATGGTTTGGTGTGAGTACCAGAACCATTTAACCTGCATGGTTTGGTGCGAGTATCAGAAATGGTACTCTATCTCCTCCCACTTGGGGAGATTTTTAACAGACACGGAGTGTCCTATCACTTTTATGCAGATGACTGCCAAATTTATATGCCAATTTCGAGAGGCCATGCTCCCCTGACGCCCCTGCTCAACTGTCTATGTGACGTCAAGGCTTGGTTAGCCCAGAATTTTTTAGTAATGAATGAGGGAAAAACGGAAATTTTAACATTTGGACCGGCCCTTACTGACTTCGGACCACTAGGAAATTATGTGCGTTCCAAAGTCACCAGCCTTGGCGTGACTATAGACAGTGATTTTAAATTTGACAAACAAGTGAATGGCGTTTTAAAATCGTGTTTTTATCATCTTCGGCTTTTATCAAAAGTGAAGCCATTCTTATCTTTTAACTTGTTAGAACAGGTTGTGCATGCTTTTATTTCCAGTCGTCTGGACTACTGCAACGCACTTTATGCTGGTGTCAATCAGAAAACCCTCTCCCGGTTGCAGTTGGTCCAGAACGCAGCAGCACGACTTTTAACGGGGGCCAGAAAGCGCGAACACATCACCCCTGTACTCGCGTCTTTGCACTGGCTCCCTGTTCATTTTAGAATTTATTTTAAAATTTTACTGTTTGTTTTTAAATCTTTGCATGGACAGGCCCCTGATTACATCTCGGACCTCATCCAAATTTACACTCCTGCGCGCGCCCTGAGGTCCGAGAGCCAGCTCCAGCTCGTGGTCCCTAACGCGAGACTTAAAACCCGGGGGGACAGAGCCTTTTCTGTGGTCGGCCCTAAGCTCTGGAACGCTCTTCCCCTCCATGTCCGGACGGCCCCCACAGTAGAGTGTTTTAAGTCTCGTCTTGAGACCCACTTTTACTCTTTGGCTTTTAACACTGTGTGAGTTGTGTGGTCCTCTGTGTTTTTATTTTTCTATTTATGGTTTTAATCTGTTTTATAAATTTTTATTCTTTTATACTTGGTGAAGCTAAGGATAAGTTGTTATTTATTTTATACTTTTTTGTGCAGCACTTTGGAAACGTAACTGTTGTTTAAATGTGCTATATAAATAAAGTGGATTGGATTGGAGACGAACTAAATATGCAGGGACCTCTCTTTGCATCAATTTATCAAATAGTTTGAAATGGTTGATACGATCAAATGCTTTAGAAGCATCCAGGAAACACACAAACATAGAACTCTGCCTTTGATATTTACGTAGAGCCTCTTTTAGAGAGTATATGCACATGTCAGTGCTTTTAGAGAGTATATACACATGTCAGTGCTTTTAGAGAGTATATGCACATGTCAGTGGCTTTTAGAGAGTATATGCACATGTCAGTGCTTTTAGAGAGTATATGCACATGTCAGTGCTTTTAGAGAGTATATGCACATGTCAGTGCTTTTAGAGAGTATATGCACATGTCAGTGCTTTTAGAGAGTATATGCACATGTCAGTGCTTTTAGAGAGTATATGCACATGTCAGTGCTTTTAGAGAGTATATGCACATGTCAGTGCTTTTAGAGAGTATATACACATGTCAGTGCTTTTAGAGAGTATATACACATGTCAGTGCTTTTAGAGAGTATATACACATATCAGTGCTTTTAGAGAGGATATACACATGTCAGTGCTTTTAGAGAGTATATGCACATGTCAGTGCTTTTAGAGAGTATATACACATGTCAGTGCTTTTAGAGAGTATATACACATGTCAGTGCTTTTAGAGAGTATATACACATGTCAGTGCTTTTAGAGAGTATATACACATGTCAGTGCTTTTAGAGAGTATATACACATGTCAGTGCTTTTAGAGATTATATACACATGTCAGTGCTTTTAGAGAGTATATACACATGTCAGTGCTTTTAGAGAGTATATGCACATGTCAGTGCTTTTAGAGAGTATATACACGTCAGTGCTTTTAGAGAGTATGCGCACATGTCAGTGCTTTTAGAGAGTATATACACATGTCAGTGCTTTTAGAGAGTATATGCACATGTCAGTGCTTTTAGAGAGTATATACACATGTCAGTGCTTTTAGAGAGGATATACACATGTCAGTGCTTTTAGAGTATATGCACATGTCAGTGCTTTTAGAGAGTATATACACATGTCAGTGCTTTTAGAGAGTATGCGCACATGTCAGTGCTTTTAGAGAGTATATACACATGTCAGTGCTTTTAGAGAGGATATACATATGTCAGTGCTTTTAGAGAGTATATGCACATGTCAGTGCTTTTAGAGAGTATATACACATGTCAGTGCTTTTAGAGAGTATATGCACATGTCAGTGCTTTTAGAGAGTATATACACATGTCAGTGCTTTTAGAGAGGATATACACATGTCAGTGCTTTTAGAGTATATGCACATGTCAGTGCTTTTAGAGAGTATATACACATGTCAGTGCTTTTAGAGAGTATGCGCACATGTCAGTGCTTTTAGAGAGTATATACACATGTCAGTGCTTTTAGAGAGGATATACACATGTCAGTGCTTTTAGAGAGTATATGCACATGTCAGTGCTTTTAGAGAGTATATACACATGTCAGTGCTTTTAGAGAGTATATGCACATGTCAGTGCCATGTTTGCTCTTGAAACCAAACTGCTCGTCATTTGTGGTACAATACTGCAGAAACCGCTCTAATAAGATTATTTCTATCACCTTAGAAAGCACACTGGCGAGTCCTGTAGTTTTCTAAACTAGACAGTTTTCCTGTTTTATCCTTGATTACAGGTGAAAGGAGGACAGACATCAGTGAGCTAGGCAGTGTACCATGCATTAACATACCAGTAAAGCAGAGTGAAAGCAGGACACAGTCTAGGGCTGGCATACTTAAGATGCTCTGCCGTTAGCTTGTCCAGGCCACAGGATTTACCCACAGACAGTTTCTTAAAAGCTGCAGCTATTTGCACAACTGTGATGCTCACGTTTTTATCCGTTGATTTGTCAATAATAAAATGCTTGCTTTTTACACAAAACCTCTTAACACCCGCCTCATTTTGGCTCGTGCACAAAAGTTGGGCATACCCAAATGTCTTTGCTTATTTAAAAACACATCTTACATCTCACATGCTTGTGTGATGCATCATTTTAAAGCTAGAGCCTTCTAGTTTATGTAAAAAAACACAAAAATAATGTTTGTCATTCCTATTTCACTCTGCATCCTTTGAAGTTTGGGAAAAAAACCCAATTTTTTTAGCCTCGCCAAACATTTTCAATTTCTAAAGGCCCTAAAAAACGCATACTTCATTGTAAGTTCACAATATTCAAACCCTGTGGTCATTGTGTTGTTGACAACAACTGTCTAAAGTTTCACACTTCTAAGTTTTATAGTTTTTATGCAGTTTCTCCTTTTCATCAAGTAGTGCACATTTGGCACATTTGGCACAATTGTGCCAAATATCTTTACTGATATTTAATCATCATAAAAACAATAATTTTTATTATTGGTACTTATAAGTTACTAATCTATGTGTGTTTTTTTTTTTTTAAATGTCAAAGTTATTTTTTTATGAGTGTAAATTCATTGCAGCTTCGAGAGCGTCTTTTGGCTGCCATTACGCACAATTCTACAGGCACAACATAAGACAGGACACCATTGTCCCACCCCTTGCTCGAAAGCTTTCCTCATTGGCTACACGGACAAGTCAATCAAAAATCCCGGAAGTAAATGCAAACAAGTAGGGACCACAACAAAGATCAGTGATCCATGCGCAAACAGCAGCGCTAGCTGTACTCACGGGAGCTCTTGCAGACCCAAAAATTGGTCTAGCTTTTCAGGAGTAGTCTCATTTGAAAGATAAGGAGCTAAGGAACACGTAGATACCAGATGTTCGGGTGAAAAACAAAGCTAAAAGTCCGTTAAAAGTTAAAGAGCAACATCTGTGCTCTTTTTTTTTGCTAAAGATAAATGCACATTTTTGGATTATTTCTGCAGAATGGATTTTACTTTGGGAAATACAAGTGGATATAATTTTCCTTTGGACTGTTCCAGAGAGAATGATGTATTGCAAGCTGGGAGGAGAGCCGATTTATTTGTACAGCACAAGCCCAAAGGTAAAAAACTATTTCAGAATTGATTTATTTTGTGCCCACATTATGTGTTATATTTTTTATATATATTATATCTGATGTAGTTTACACTTATATATAAATGTAGATAAGAAAATAGGCTTTACAATGATATACAGCTTTTGGGGTTTGGTGTTCAAAATACATCTGCTATTGCCAGCAGAACACTTAAAAACATAAAAACGGCACGCCGGCGAGCCGGTGGGTGTAAAGAGGTTAAAAAGATTACTAGTATTTCAGTTCAAGTACATCAAATATCCATTTACAGTTACTTATTACAATATTGACATCATTCAAACTTGATAAGGAGGTGGGAGGTAGAAAAAAAACTTACAAGTTTCCACCCTGGCACAACACACTTACACCCGTGTGTCCGGAGCCAGTAGCAAAGTAATGCCACAACAACACGGCAACAAGCACACAGTGACCCGCAGCCAATCCCGTCGCAGCAATGACCATAACGCACCAAGGGCCTCGAGCCAGAACTGCACTCACCCTACTCCACCGGTCCACGTTCACAAACTTAATTTTTTTTTCTTCTATTTTCTATTTTATTATTATCATTTATTAATATTACTTTTAAAGGGCGACAGTAGCTCAGTTGGTAGAGCATTGGCCTTTGGCCTGAAGTCCGTGGGTTCGTGCCCACAGTAAGACCTACTCACGTACTCCCACTGATGACTGCTGGTCCGTTGTGTCCTTGGCAAGACACTTAACCCTAACTTTGCCCAAAGCCCCCAAAACTGAAAGATCTAGCTCCTGTGGACTCACCACCGCAGGAGGATCAGTGAGTGGGGGCTATGTGTACTGGTGCTACCCCCTCGACCCAGAAATGGATTGAAGAAAATGGGTGGCAGCTCTGAAGACTGTATTCAAACTATTAACATATACACCCCCCGACCCAGAAATTTGTGGTGATTAAGGGAAGAAAATGTTGGATGGTACTTGGTGTACATAATTTTAAGAAACCACTGGATTATAGAAATCAACACCATGGAGGAATATATAATTTCTATGGCTACGCAGGTGGGACAGACTCAAGACAAAATCTCTGCCCTCCCTACCATACCATACAGCTATAATTTATAAAGAACTTTATAAACTTACAGTTCAGCCAAAGGGCTTGTACACAAAAACAATCCCAATGACTAAAAAATACATATAGAAAACAAATAATTACCTTAAATCAAACATTAGCAAAAAGCACAATGAAAAGACGAGTTTTAAGAAATAACTTAAAAAACAGCAGAGAATTGAGCCTGTCTTATCTCAATGGGTAGCGGAGCGGAGTCCAAGACGAGGACCTGCGACAGAAAAAAGCTCGGTCACCACGAAGCTGTGGTCTTAGGGACCACCACATCAGCTGATCGGCCGACCTCAGGGCACGAAGAGGGAACATAGGGCAGAATAAATCACAGAGGTAGGAGGGGCCAGTCCATTAAACATTTAAAAGTAAATAAAAGAATTTTATTAAAATCATTTCTAAAACACTGGAAGCCAGTGCAAGATTTTAAAAGCCTTGTCACATGCTCCCATCTACGAGTTCCATTAAAAGTCAGCTGTAGAATTCGGGAAGCTGCAGCCGAGAAAGTGCCTGTTGGCTCGCCCACAGTAGAGGGAATTGCAATAATCCAAACGGTTTCACCAAAGCATGCACAACAGTCTCAAAGTGCTGCTTTAGTTTAAAAAAAAACAGTCACAAGGACTCCATTGTGTTCCATTTTTGCCTTTCTATGTGTTGACAGATCTATGAGGTGACAATTACTATATAAACCATGTCCCTGACTTTGTTCTGTCTGAATACCTGAAAAAAACAGAAACTGAGAATAAACTTCCAGGAAAGCTCTGGGGCGCAACGATCCCGTCTCTGTGAGGTTAATTTTCCGCAACAGAATTGCTTTCTGCCGTTTATAGGGAATTTTCTTCAGTAAAAAAATAACATTCTTGTTACCAATCAACTAGCTCCATATTTAATATTTAGAATCTATGTCAAGCGGAGTGTACTTTCAACATCTACCACTAGGTGAATGTTGATACATTTCTGTCCATCTCCTTACCCATGTTCATGTTTATCGAATTTTTTGCACATATTCAAAACATGAAAACTAAGTCATATTCTCAAGAACATGTTTAAGGCAAACACAAATAATGTAATCGCAACTATGTTTTTAGTAAGTATAGTCCCCTAAACTGCAGTGTGCCACACAGCCCTCCTTAAGCCCTCAGTAATCGTCTTATTTGTGGAGTGTTTTAGGAGGGGGCGGGGGGATCAGGAGGATTTGGGTCTTGTTTGGGAACATAAGGGTCTTAGCACGCTGAACCATTGTTCCCAGTCGGGAGGACAGGCACTTACAATATGCACCTGTTGCAGTTTATAAGTGGCCATTGACATGTGGCTTATCTGATAGGCATGTCTCAGTAGCAGCTTGGATTTTGGTGAAGATGCGTGATTGTTTGTTTAACGAAGGCGTTTAACATCCAACTTGAATTGTTTTTGTTTTGTCCACTTTGCTAACATTATTGCACGACACTATTATCTAACTGAAGACAAGACCTGTATGTGCTTTATACTGAAACATGATCTATATTCAACAGATTATTTTAAGACCCCTTCCTGCTCTGATAGAAAGTCAGTATTTTGTTTGCTTTTTGCTGTAGGTTCTCTGAGTTTAAATACAACCTAACATATTCTGTTTGATACACATGACATCTGGCACCAGTGGGTTATTTTTACATGTAAGATACGGAGGCCCGCACTCTTCGCATTCTATCCTGCCCTCGAGGACCGAGGCTGTAGATCCAGGACTGATGCTGTAGAGACCCAGGACTGAGGCTGTAGATCCAGGACTGAGGCTGTAGTTTCTGGACAGAGGCTGTAGACCCTGGACCGAGGCTGTAGATCCAGGACTGAGGCTGTAGATCCAGGACTGAGGCTGTAGTTTCTGGACAGAGGCTGTAGACCCTGGACCGAGGCTGTAGATCCAGGACTGAGGCTGTAGATCCAGGACTGAGGCTGTAGACCCTGGACCGAGGCTGTAGATCCAGGACTGAGGCTGTAGATCCAGGACTGAGGCTGTAGAACCAGGACTGAGGCTGTAGTTCCTGGACTGAGGCTGTAGTTTCTGGACAGAGGCTGTAGACCCTGGACCGAGGCTGTAGATCCAGGACTGAGGCTGTAGATCCAGGACTGAGGCTGTAGACCCTGGACTGAGGCTGTAGATCCAGGACTGAGGCTGTAGATCCAGGACTGAGGCTGTAGACCTAGGACTGAGGCTGTAGATCCTGGACTGAAGAGGCTCCCAGGCAGGGACAGGGGTTGAGGCCCAGAAGACCAGTTTGTGAATACTGTAACTATAGCTGTTTATGTAATGTTTATGTAATGTGAATACACGGGTGTAATGTGAGGACACAGGTGTAATGTGAATACACAGGTGTGATGTGAGGACACAGGTGTAATGTGAGGACACAGGTGTAATGTGAATACACAGGTGTGATGTGAGGACACAGGTGTAATGTGAGGACACAGGTGTAATGTGAATACACAGGTGTGATGTGAGGACACAGGTGTGATGTGAGGACACAGGTGTAATGTGAGGTCCTCCTCAGGTACTGGCCTCATGGTCTGAAGACCTCCTGTGGGCCTGATGTGTTTGGGGGGAACGAGGACCCGGGAGTGTGGTCCTACATGGTCGTCCTGATGATCACCTGCTGCTTCTTCCCTCTGGCAGTCATCATCCTCTGCTACCTCGCCGTGTGGTGGGCCATCCACTCTGTGAGTCCCCCCACCCCTTCTGTCCAAACTCTCTGAGTCCAATCACTATTACTGCTGCTACTACTACTGTAACCACTACTACTGTAACTACTACTACTGTAACTACTACTGTAACTACTACTACTGTAACTACTACTACTACTACTACTGTAACTACTACTACTGTAACTACTACTGTAACCACTACTGTAACTACTACTACTGTAACTACTACTGTAACTACTACTACTGTAACCACTACTACTGTAACCACTACTACTGTAACTACTACTGTAACTACCTCTACTGTAACCACTACTGTAACTACTACTACTGTAACCACTACTACTGTAACTACTACTACTGTAACCACTACTACTGTAACTACTACTACTGTAACCACTACTACTGTAACCACTACTACTCTAACCACTACTACTGTAACCACTACTACTGTAACTACTACTGTAACTACGACTGTAACCACTACTACTGTAACTACTACTACTGTAACCACTACTACTGTAACTACTACTGTAACTACTACTACTGTAACTACTACTGTAACCACTACTACTGTAACTACTACTACTGTAACCACTACTACTGTAACTACTACTGTAACTACGACTGTAACCACTACTACTGTAACTACTACTGTACTTACAGTAGTAGTAACTACTACTGTAAGTAACTACTACTGTAACTACTACTACTGTAATTACTACTACTGTAACTACTACTACTGTAACCACTACTACTGTAACTACTACTGTAACTACTACTGTAACCACTACTACTGTAACTACTACTGTAACTACTACTACTGCAACTACTACTGTAACTACTACTACTGTAACCACTACTACTGTAACTGCTACTGTAACCACTACTACTGTAACTACTACTACTGTAACTACTACTACTGCAACTACTACTGTAACTACTACTGTAACTACTACTACTGTAACCACTACTACTGTAACTACTACTGTAACTACTACTACTGTAACTACTGTACTACTACTGTAACCACTACTACTGTAACTTCTACTACTTCTATTATCATGCTTGCCTGTCACATACATTTATGTTTATTTCTGTGACAAAATGTGGAAAGGTTCATGGGGTATTCAGATTTATAATTCAACACTGTCATGAATATATAGTGGGACATAGCAACTGCCCGACGACAGGGATCCAATCAGAAAACGGTGCTCAGATAACATAAGATAAAACTTTGTTGATCTCACAAGGAAAAAATGTACATGTTATATTTGGCCTCAATAAGACTCAGGTGTGAAAACAACAGGAAACGTGTTAAAAACGACAAAGATAAAAGATTTAAGATATAAAACAAACATGTCTTATGCTGGACACTAAGCTGCAGTTTCTGTGTTGTCCTGTAGGTGGCCATGCAACAGAAGGAGTCAGAGTCGACACAGAAGGCGGAGAAGGACGTGTCCCGGATGGTGGTAGTGATGATCCTGGCATACTGTTTCTGTTGGGGTCCGTACACCGCTTTTGCCTGCTTCTCTGCTGCTAACCCTGGCTACGCCTTCCACCCGCTAGCTGCCGCACTGCCTGCATACTTCGCCAAGAGCGCCACCATCTACAACCCAGTGATCTACGTGTTCATGAACCGACAGGTGAGACAGCTACGTATTCATGAACCGACAGGTGAGACAGCTACGTATTCATGAACCAACAGGTGAGACAGCTACGTATTCATTAACCGACAGGTGAGGTAGCTACATATTCAGGAACCGACAGGTGAGGCTATGTGTTCATGAACCGACAGGTGAGTTAGCTATGTGTTCATGAACCAACAGGTGAGGCTATGTGTTCATGAACTGACAGGTGAGGTAGCTATGTGTTCATGAACCGACAGGTGAGGTAGCTATGTGTTCATGAACCGACAGGTGAGGTAGCTATGTGTTCATGAACCGACAGGTCAGGTAGCTGCATATTCATGAACCGACAGGTGAGGTATCTATGTGTTCATGAACCGACAGGTGAGGTAGCTACATATTCATGAACCGACAGGTGAGGTAGCTATGTGTTCATGAACCAACAGGTGAGGTAGCTATGTGTTCATGAACCGACAGGTGAGGTAGCTATGTGTTCATGAACCGACAGGTGAGGTAGCTATGTGTTCATGAACCGACAGGTGAGGTAGCTACATATTCCTGAACCGACAGGTGAGGTAGCTATGTGTTCATGAACCGACAGGTGAGGTAGCTACATATTCATGAACCAACAGGTGAGGTAGCTATGTGTTCATGAACTGACAGGTGAGGTAGCTATGTGTTCATGAACCGACAGGTGAGGTAGCTACATATTCATGAACCGACAGGTGAGGTAGCTATGTGTTCATGAACTGACAGGTGAGGTAGCTATGTGTTCGTGAACCGACAGGTGAGGTAGCTATGTGTTCATGAACTGACAGGTGAGGTAGCTATGTGTTTATGAACCGACAGGTGAGGCTATGTGTTCATGAACCGACAGGTGAGGCTATGTGTTCATGAACCGACAGGTGAGGCTATGTGTTCATGAACTGACAGGTGAGGTAGCTATGTGTTCATGAACCAACAGGTGAGGCTATGTGTTCATGAACCAACAGGTGAGGTAGCTATGTGTTCATGAACCAACAGGTGAGGCTATGTGTTCATGAACCAACAGGTGAGGTAGCTATGTGGCAGCTACACGTTCATGAACCGACAGGTGAGGTAGCTATGTGGCAGCTACACGTTCATGAACCGACAGGTGAGGTAGCTATGTGGCAGCTACACGTTCATGAACCCTCATGACCTCAGCTTTAAAGTCCCGCAGCTTTAACCTGATCCTCTCTCTGTCCTCAGTTCCGCTCGTGCATCATGCAGATGTTTGGGAAAGAGGTGGACGACGGATCAGAAGTGTCCACCTCAAAGACAGAAGTGTCCTCTGTGTCTCCGTCGTAACCGGCAACACAACCACACAGCCACAGACACACAAATACATGCATTTATTCTCTTCTTGCTGTTTTGACTTTTGTAAATATAGTTGTTATAGATTCTGGCAATATAAAAAAAGACAAAAAATAATAAAGATCAAATATTTTGAAGTTGTTTGTCCGTTTCTTCTTCACTTTACAGACTGTGTATTTATATTTATCCGATCTCGATAAACTACTCGTCCTGGAGCCAGTCCAGCTGCTGCTCACAAAAACAATATTTACACCAGTTTTCACCAACAACGTGTTCATTAACCTACAGCCCCCACCCCCCCCACACCCACCTACCTACACACTGTACATAACTACCCACCTACCTACCTACACACTGTACATAACTACCTGCCTACACACTGTACATAACTACCCACCTACCTACACACTGTACATAACTACCCACCTACCTACCTACACACTGTACATAACTACCTACCTACACACTGTACATAACTACCTACCTACACACTGTACATAACTGTTAGTAGAGTTGTTGGATTTTCATTAAAGTGAATTAGAATATATTCAAAGTTTAGATAGCTACTGTGTGATGGGATGTGATGGACGCATCAGCAGCATTCTCCCATCCCCCCCAGCCATGAAACACAGGAAGTTGAATTGAGAAGAGCGTAGAGAGCATCTGTTTGGAGTGGCCTCTGGCTTGCTTTGAGAGGGGCTACTGTGTGTTTTGGAGAAAGGAGGTATTGTCTTCACCTAAGGATGGTGGGACATATGGTCACATGTGTTTCAAATTATCATGGTATAAGATCAGAGTTCTTTGTCCATTTCTTTGTCACTCTGCTGCTACATCCAGCAGAGACCCAGACTGGTGCAGTCTGTAACATGTCTATGTGTGTGATGTCCAGAACACTGAGTAGTTTTTTCACATATTTTGGTCCTTCTTGCGCCGGATGCCAACATGCTTTTCTGCGGAGCTGAGGATGCCTCAAACATGGAGTTGGAGCAGCGGTGAGACCTTCTTCATTCAGAACTGCTTTGAGGACTCCATCTTTGAGGCATGGCCAGTCTCCGGATTGAAGTTGACGGCAGAACTAGAGTTTCTGGACATCCACATGGACAAGGTAAAACAAATTTTTCCTAAAAAAAAAAGAAACTAAATTTAAATCGTCTTTGAAGGCAGGAAATCCAATTTATCTTCTCAAAAAGCATTGGGGCAGTGAGATATCACGCACTTCTAAGAAAGTGGAGAATTTAAACTTCTATCCACTGGGACTTTTGAAGTCGGGGACTCAAAAAAGAGGCCGCGGATAACGAGGCTTATCCTTCTAATAGTCGACGAGCTATTACAAATTCAGCACTATGGACGCATACGTGTAGTTGGAAAACCAGATCTGGCCATTTGAGGGAAAATGGAACATTTTGAGAGTGGTGATTTATTCTTCAGCCGATTAGTGACTTTTTGGTAGAACTTTGTGGTAGCCTGCATAATAAGACGACAACAATTTTTCTAAATAATAATTTAAACTGGAAATTGAAATTTAGATATAAAGGCCTAAAGTGTGAGTGTGTGTGTGCGTGCACGTTTGAGGTGCATCCTTTGTGTCCCCTTCTGCCTTTCCCCCTCTTCCCCCTCATCCCCCTTCTCCCTTGCTCCCAATTCTGTCCCTCCCGTCTGCTCAACTCTAGTTGGGTGGAGTATGTTTGTTATAGTTTAACTACTTTTGTTAATGCTAGCTACATTAACAAAAATAATTAAAAAGGGGTGGAACCAGTGATGTACATTTTACTGGTGAAAACATTTGGTAATGAGATTAGAGAATCATAGATAGATTTGAATTGACTTGAGCTGTGAAATTTGTGATTGGACAACTTTAAAGTTACAACATTTGGTACAAGCTCAAAAGGAATGCTGAAGCTGAATTAGATTGATGATAAATAAGACTCAAAGTTTGCTCAGATTTTTGATTTTTGTTTGCTTATGATCACAAAAGATGGTATTTTGTGCACACAAGTAGACTTTTATGTTATTTTTTGGGTTTGATTTGGAGTTTTTGTTTGTTTTGTGAGTAACTGTCTTTATGTGTAAGATTTAACAGACTAACATTTCCTCTTATGTGAGTAGTATTTGTTTGTTACTTCAGGTTTTGCATGTAAGTGTTTGTCTTCTGTGTCTAGGACTTAACTGACTGAACTAACGGACTATAAAATAGGAATAAACATCAGGACTAAAATATTATTTCACAAATAATATGAAACAATATTAGGGTAAAATCAACAGAATTGTCAACTAATATTTTGTTCTGTTTCTGAGTTTGTTTCTGTCTCAGCTGAGAGAGGGACGTCTGGGGACAGTGTTTGGTTGTTCCCGGCACAGCATCGGTCACATGCTTCACCTCACTCCAACCAGAGAGACAGGTCTGAGAGCAGGAGGAGGGGGAGAAGCATCGGCAGGGGTGCTGTGGATGGGAACGACGAATCAGACGCCTAAGAAGGTCCTCTCTGACTGATGCTGACTCAGAACAATCAGATAAGTGGAAAACACTCTGAAAATAAGCAGTTTCATTTTTCAGATTTGAATAATAAATATGTTTAGTTTCATTTGAAAGGTTTAAATTCAACAGTAAGGGAAGTTACTGTAGCATGTTTAATGTTTACATCAAAGAAATGCAAATCTGTTTGATTCTGAATATAACTAGTTATACAATATTTCAATAGTTAATTGTGATGTTTTCATTTCTGAGACAAGAAAATGACAGTAATAGGACTGTTTTCAGCAACAGTTTTCATTAACTGCTAAGGTTTTCTTTTGGGTCTACTGAACTAAGTTTGAAATGTATTAACAAATGTGTATTTTGTGTGTTTTGTTTGAGGGAAACACCTAAAACACCACTTTTGATGCTCAAAAAGCTCAGAGTTCATTCCTGTGAAGGAGACGCCCACTCCCACCCCCACCAATCATCAACCAGCAAACCAAGCCAAACTAAGCCAAACCAGCAGGCCAAACCAGGGCTAAATGCTGCAACGACAGAAGCAATGATGCAAAGGGTCATCCAGGGGTCAGACTCAAATCAACAACTTGACTCTGTGAGTTTTTGGGACATTTTGCAGATTTCCAAAGCATCTGAGAGACTGGGTTGACCGAAGACATCACCTTTGTGCAAGGATCTAGGGACTGGAGGTTTCCAGTTTTTGCTGTCGGTTCTAAAGTGTGTGAACAGGAAAAGAGGCTTCTGGACATGATGGGGCTGTGCTGGATGGTGCTGGACGTTGCTGGCTGCAGAAGACATTGGGGTGTGGAGGCGTGTCTACAACAGGCGTTACTGGACAATAGGCTTTTTGGTGTGGTGTTTAATTTGCTAACCAAAGTTGACACATTTCAAGTTAATACATTTCAGGTTAAAACATTCCAGTTTAATACATTTCAAATGAACGTTTAGTTTAAAAATGTTGATGCTACATTAATTTACATGAGTAAATTGGTTATTTGTGTCTTTTTCATTTCATACACATGAATAATTAGGAATTATGTTTGGTTATTGAGCCATTTTTAATGTCTCAAACAGGGGGGAGATATGGTTTATGGGGGAGCAATTACATATGAATATGAAATGATCTCTAAAAAACTTTTTTTTGAGTTCTTTTCTGTGTGTGTTTCTGTAACCAATGTGATTTTTATAAGACACATGTGAAGAGGGGTCTTTAAGTTGAGTTGATGCAACTTGGATTCAAATGTAATACTGTGTTTGTATTAATTTCATTGTGTTCCATTTTTAAGTTGGTTTACTAAACATTGAATGTGATTAATTCTTTTAATGAAAAAAAGGAGGGAATGTTAGTAGAGTTGTTGGATTTTCATTAAAGTGAATTAGAATATATTCAAAGTTTAGATAGCTACTGTGTGATGGGATGTGATGGACGCATCAGCAGCATTCTCCCATCCCCCCCAGCCATGAAACACAGGAAGTTGAATTGAGAAGAGCGTAGAGAGCATCTGTTTGGAGTGGCCTCTGGCTTGCTTTGAGAGGGGCTACTGTGTGTTTTGGAGAAAGGAGGTATTGTCTTCACCTAAGGATGGTGGGACATATGGTCACATGTGTTTCAAATTATCATGGTATAAGATCAGAGTTCTTTGTCCATTTCTTTGTCACTCTGCTGCTACATCCAGCAGAGACCCAGACTGGTGCAGTCTGTAACATGTCTATGTGTGTGATGTCCAGAACACTGAGTAGTTTTTTCACAATAACTACCTGCCTACACACTGTACATAACTACCTACCTACACACTGTACATACCTACCTACCCAGGTAGGAAGTGTGACTTCCTGTATCCGGTGAGCGTGTTTCTTGACTGCTATCACTCTGCTCTCTGTTTGCACTAACAAACACATTACAAATCCACGTATTGTACACCAAGCTAACTGTGTAAGCACTCCGAGTCAGCTGTACTGCAGCTGAGGTTTAGGTAGCGGTTGTTTGTCTGGTCTCGGAGTCTGTTGTGCGGGCCCGGATCCGTACTAGCTTAGCCTAGCCTAGCTTAGCCTAGCCTAGCCGCTAACTCGCTACTATGGCGGCTGCTGTCTCTCCCTCAATCCTTTACTGCTCGAGTTGCCATATGGCGAGTCTAAACCCTGGATCCTTCTCTGAGGGTAGTGATAGATGTGTGAAGTGTAGTGTAGTCGTAGCTCTGGAATCCAGGGTCAGTGAGTTAGAGCTGCGTCTCCGAGCACTGGAGTCTCGAGCTAGCGCTAGCATTAGCTACAGCCAGGCCGTATCCTCAGGGACAGCGGAGCGCAGCTTTAGGGAAAGGCAGAGGAGAACTAGCGAGCCTAGCCTCCCAGCCCGTCCTCCGCAGCTGGGACAAGACCAGGATAGTGATGGCTTTGTGACTGTTCGGAGAGGGCGACGTGTTGTTGGTAGTTTCCCCATTGTGCCTCCTCCTGTTAGCATTTACAATCGCTGGGACGCTCTGTCCGGCTGCGCCCCCGCGCGGCCGGGCGGGGAAGAAGGCCC